ACTTATCAGAGGCCACACTGGGTCCAGCGTCAAACCCAAGGACACTTTGGATCAAATAAGCAATTTTGTAATTGGAAGGCGGCCATTCTTCTGCTGAGCTGGTGCTTCATTTATCAGAGCGGATACTGCGTCCATGTTCTTTTCTCTCTTTTTTTCCCCCCGTACAGTCATTGATTAAGTCTCCAGTAGCAGCTGCTAACGAGAAGGCCTGCCACTGCTCCGGTGTGAAAGTAAAGATAGCAGAGGTCTTAGAAAGTAGTCGCCTTGGTTTTGTCTCATCTGGCCGTCCTGGATTTAAATCTGTTGATTGCAGGCCACCGTAATGTGAACTAGTAACATCGATTCCTTGACATGTTACTCAGTTTACCATTTATTACTCAGATATTTTTCATTTTGTTCATTTGATGAACAAGCTCGTGTGAGCTGGGAACTAAATTAAAACAATTTCCTATTCCAAAAAAAGAAAAAAAAAGAAGAGAGTAAAATTAAATTCTGTCATTTTTGTGCCAAGTGTATTTTTAGTGTTTAGGCTTTGAAGACGTTAATGTGCCAGTTTCGCATGAAGCTCATTTGCATAATAGTTAATAGTTTTTCATCCAAAGGGCTTTGTGATTGCGACACACAAACTAGGCCATCGCATCACTTTTCCAGTGAAAACGTCAAGTTAGCTCAACTTGAGGGAGATACCTCATTTTAAATTAAGTTAATGCCACTTCCTCCTTTTGTTTTTCTATCATAGTTGAAGTGCTGAGCATTGTATAATTCATACCAGTGCTGCAAGTTTCTCTCAACTCGTCAAACCAACTTCCTGGTCATTTCATTTTTTTTTTTTTTTTTTGCCACACAACCAGAGGGCATAACCGTTGTCAGGTTCAGCTACTAATTACTGATGTCACAAAGCGAGAGCCACAGGTTTCCTGTTGCTGCCTATCAGCTGGATTGTTGAAGTAAAACAGAAAAGAAAAGGAAAAAAAGACTTTGTTTTTACTTTCAGATAACTTTATTCCCCTGTGCCGTTTCAGAAGACTTAATGGGCTGCAATTCCAACTTGGCTGGAGTCGCCTGTCTTTCTACATAATACCGCGTTTGCTTATTTATTTTTTATTTTTTTTGCTTTGCATTTATTACTGTGACTCTAACCTGGTGTGTTTACTTGGAGGCATTAATGAGCCTGGGGCTTTTAAGGAGCAGTCCAGCCTTCAATTGTGAAAGTCACATGAGCAGAAGTTCATCATGTAGTTTTCTTTGTTACTATTCTCTGTAGTTCGCTAAAAACTCAGCCCCATTAAAAAACCCTTCGAAGTACAATGCAATGTAAAGAACGGGGGGGGTGGGTTTGGGCAAGTACCAACAACGACAAGGTCAGACGAAAACGCCACTAAAATGCGTTTGTTTGTAATACTGTTGTATTACAACAACTGTTTTTAAGGCAGGAGTCAGATTTAGGACTAAGATGTGAATTGAGTTTTGGGTTAGGGTTAGGATAAGGTTTAGGCTGTAGAAATGAATGGAAGTCAATAGAAAGACAACCATACAAACGTGTGTGTGTGTGTGTGTGTGTGTTTTTGAGGCTCCACTGCGACCAAGAAGGGCTCCTTTTCTGAACGCCAAGACAAAATACAATGTCCTTTTAATCCCTATTTCCATTTGCTACATCTCATACAGTAAGCACACAAACAAGTGTAACGTACAGAGAGTCCAGTCACTGGGCACACAGAGAGCAACTTCCAGAGAAAAATCACACAGTCCACAAAGTTCCCAGAGCAGTCTTTGTGGAGGAAGTCCTTGGTCTCTCGGTGCGGAGGGACATGCAGTGAAATCGCTGGAAGGAGAACACAGTGTGTACAACTCTGCTTGCAGACGGCTGCTAATTCACAGTTAGGTTTTGGAAAAGTGCACACAAGGTACTGATCTCGTAATTAGCTCGATGAATATTATCTCTACTGTTCTTTACTACCATAACACTTAGTGTTACAGATCTCACTGTAAGACAGCAGTATCTATATGATGTAAAAAATAAATGACATGACATATCGATATTCACAAAAAAAACAAAAGAAAATCTATTGGAATTGATTTCACAATATCTACAAATTCACAAGTTAATTACACTTTCTGAACAAGTTTTTTTTGCCATTATTAATCTCTTTAGTTGATCTATTTTTCTACGGCTTTCTATGCATCAAGACCTTTGCATCAATGCTGTCGAGGTTATGCTGCATCAAACAGGGTATTTAATGCTGTTACTAATTAGCATAAATATATTCATATAGTGTTATACTCTTAATATACTGTATCTGACTGTGTAGAATGACATGGTTTTACTGGTTTTAATTCTGGCCATGTTTGGATAACACCACATAATACAATCAAACCCAGACCTGAATGTCAGATTTCCTTTTATCAAATCCTCTGAGGTGTGTGGAAAAAAACAAAATTAATATTTCTCATGTTTCTCTGACTAAGCCAAAATCTGCCTGCATTAAAAAAACAAAACAAAAAAAAAAACATTAACTGCAAATAATAAAAATGACTTTTTTTTTCTTTGCTCGCTCATTTACATGTTCCGTTTGCTGATTAATTCAGAAATTAATCTCCGCAGGGTGATTTTATCATGGATTATCTGTGGAAACAGATTGTGCAGTTCTGAATGCGTTTTCCCTTGCGATAAACATGTGACAGCGGTGAAGATGGAAAAATACATGCAGAATTTAATTAGAAAAAAACTGAAAAAAAAAAAAGAATAAAAAGCTGTTATTTTAAACAGCGTAGATGGAGTTTTTAAAGACTTGGTTTCTTTGATGTTGCTTTCAAAAACAAAATGAAAAGTAGTCCAACAGTTAGAGCGCCTTGCGAATGTGTTTCACACTCGACACAGCACAAACACCAGCTTCAAAGAGATGTGGTGGTGGCAGCGTCATGCTGTGGGACCACTTCAGATGGGGACAGACAGAGCATGGAGAAAGGAACGCACTGAAAAAAGAGAATGAAGCTCCAACTGAAATAATTCTTAAATTTGTTACATTTAATCAAATTAAGTTTGTCAAGCTTAATTTAGCTATGTTTGTTTAACATGACAGCTTAATTAAAATCATATATTTACTTGGATAAACTTAATTTGACTACTTGTAACAAATTAAATCATTCTTTAAAAGTTGGATCAAATTTTTTGTTTTTTTCAGTTTGGAGCCAAATGAAGGCAGAAAACCTGTTAAAATTCCAACATAAGACGTTAAAGCATGCGCTCATAACGTGATAAAGGACAAGGCATTTTAACATTTTGGCATAGTTTGCCCATTGCTGAATGTTTTTGATGGTAAATGTATTATCTTTGGTTAAATAACTCCTTTATGGATAGAGACTATTGGTGACATTAGTCAGAGAATGACTCATATATATATATTTTATGCATAACATTTGACAAATTCAGCTATTTTGTTTAGAGCCACCAACCTGCAGTAACTCCAATCCAGGAGCCTGGAGGAGTCAGACGTAATTATTTAAGATGTGTTGACACATGCTGAATTAATTTAACGTAAAATATTTAAAAATAAAAGGGTTCACCTTGACTTGGGTGTGAAAAAAAAAAAAAAAAAAGAATAATAACTGCAAACAATCAGCTTACGGTTGATGCTACGTTTCATTTAGTTTAAATGCATCTGGCATTTCGTTTAAACAGCAATTCTGCAAGTTTTGATTACCTTTAATTAAGACTTTAAGATCTTGTTAGAATCTTTCTTACTTAAATTAAACACAGACAAGAGCTATAGACAATCTTAATACCTTAACTTATTGTGCATTATGACTTCTGTTTAGCTAATATACCATCATAAAAAATTTAAATAAAGTTTTGCACACTTTAGTTGAACTTTTTTTTTTTTTTAAATCTGACATACGACTCCAAAACTCTAGCCAATTTCAAGTTCAAGGATTATGTAGAATAACGAAGGAATCTTCATGAATGATTATGACTGTTGTGATGAAGTGTCATTTGGAAATAATGAAATTTTTAATGCAAAGTTGACACTTTTAATTGACTTTTAATGCAAGTTCTAACAGAACGTTACATTAAAAGTGTCATTACTGAATAATGCAAAGTTTTACACTTTCAATGAACTTTTAATGCAACTTTTGGTGCACTTTTGCACTAAAAGTGCCATTATTTACCGAATGACACTTCAATATTTATGAAATATCATGTTCATGATAGGTCATGTTTTTATGCACGCCCCTTCAAATAAAGTGTTACCAGATAATGTACCAAAAATGCTTGAAATTTAATTAAAAAACCACAATAAGCCAGTTTCAGGAGGAGAAATTAAAGATGGAACTAAAATACACTTGAAGACGGTGTGGAAAATCCTTACTCATCAGAGGCTTTTTGAAATTGACACGGATATTAAACTTTATAAGACCCTACGGCGACCTTGTTAAATGGAGACGAATGTCGAGTCAGTTCAGTGGATCCATGTGTTTAGTTGTAAACTAAATAAGGGAAAACCCATTCAGAGGTCTGCACTAGAGTAAGTCTTGATGCTACTGGTTATTACAAAGTGACTGGGATGAAGTCTCGACTCTGCACCCTGCTTCAGTGTGCAGCGAGTAATACTACTGTAGATTAGAACATTTGTACATTTGCAGGAGCAAACGTACAAATGTTCATGCAGAATCAATGGCTGCTAGATTTGCACATGATTGACCGACAACATTTAACAGTGCATGTTGGGATCTCCATCCATCCATCCATCCATCCATTTTCTGAACACCCTTGTCCCTCAGTGGGGTTGGGAGGGGATCTCCAGTAAGTGTCTTAAATAATCTTTACTTATTGAATTAGACAGAATGCATCTGGCAAAAATAAATGAATGAATAAATAAAAGTGTTTTAGAATCAGATTGTGTAAATACATAGGTGCAAAAACCAAAAAGACATCTTATCTCACACACACAGCATTTACCACATTTTCTCAATAAATCAAGATTTGCTTTCAACTGGAATTATTAGGCTCTACAGTAATTTCCAGTATGTAAACTACTGCAATCTAAGTGTTTATTTGGATAAATTAAAATCCCAGTGTGACACATTGCCTTTGTTGTCTGCAGCAAAAATAAAGTCAACATATGTGGACAATAGAATCAGCACCGAAACACGTTGTACAGAAGAAAGCAAAGCAGGAAAGCGTGGATTCTTAGCTGCACGACGACAGAGACATGATAAACATTTTGGAACAAAAACGAATGCAAAGACAAGAGGGAACAAAGAAAAGAGCGATCGTTTTCATAAATAAAAAATAAAACTTAAACCATTTTAGAGGTGTAATTTCAAATTTGTCTTCCTTCTGAGGTAAAGGTGGCAGTTTGTTGGTTAGGGTGCTCCATAAAAAAACCAAAAAACAAAACATAATTTAAATGATAGTTGTTCTCCACAACACAGGAGCTGTGAATCTCTTTGCAAGATCATCTCACAGGAATAGGTCTGTTAACCCTTCGTACTAGTAGGCAGTTTTAGTCTGGGTATCTGTGTGTGTGTGCATGCGTGTGTGTGTGTGTGTATGGGCTGGTTCAGGGTGGGGATAGCCATACACTGGAGTAGATAGAACCTACAGAGACCATTAAATGTTTCTAGACAAAAGATGCAGTACTTTGCAAAAGCATTAACACCCCTAAAAACTTGTTTTTCCTTATTGTGTCACATTACAAAGACAAACTTTAATAGGTTTTTTGTTTTAATGATTTTTTTGTGATGGAGCAACTCAAAAATGTTGCACAATTATAGAGTGAAAGGAAGATGTCTTTCAAAGCCTTTTGCGAATAGAAATCTGAACAAATGTGGCAAACAATTGTTTTCAGCCTCTTTTATCCTGAAAATGCAGCCAATAGTCTTTAGAAGGCACCCAGGGATGTTTTCCCTCCTGATAATCTGGTGGAATCAGTTCGATTGGGGCCTAAACTTGCAACATTTCTTCCATTTTTCAGCTGAACTCTGTCAAACAAACAAAACTTCTTGCCATCAGTGGCTCTGCACCAAGAACCACCAAAGGAAACGACATGAAAACCTGATATGACACTCTGGATTTAGACCAGAACCGAACTGATGTGTCTGAATGGTCCAGTCAAAGTCCAGATCTCAAACTAACTGAGAATCTTTTGCAATATGAATTATTTCTACAGACGTTCTCCAGCCAATTTGAAAGAGTTTGAGCTATTTAAAAAAAAACAAAAAACAATGACAAAACAGAAGCTGCAAAGAACGGATCAGAGGAGCTGAATACAAATTCCTGCTATATTTTCATGACTTGTGCCTAAAAGAAATGAAAACTAAATATAATTTTCTTTACCCTTGGCAATCCTGCAGGTCTTTGTGCTGATCTGCCACAGAAAATCGCAATAAAACACACTGAAGTTGGTGGTTGTAGCAGGGCAAAATTGGAAAAGATTTAAGGGGTGTAAATATTTTTGCTAAGCAAAACGCACATTTGGAAATGCGAATGTGAGCATGTCTGACTTTTCTTGTGTTTTGTTTCTTTTCCTTCTTTGTGATGAGTGTTTTCACCAAGGCACATATATTATCTGTCGTTGAACATAATCAGCCAGTTAAAACAATAAGAGCCAGTGGACTAGAAAATGTTCATGCAGCCCTCTGAGGCTGCATTGTGTGTGCCGAGCTCCAGCGGCAGCTGAAGGCCAGACTCTGACAATTATTAATGATGTTCCTATAAAACTATACAGGCCGCCCCGACCAACAGAAGCACAATAAAGCGGCCAGCGGATGGCTTTCCTCGTGTTTTCGGCGGTATTGGTGTGTGTGTGTCTGTGTGCGTACGGCGTGTCAGCGCCTTATCACTGGTAATGAGTCACGATGAGAACAGAAAACACATGCGAGTGCTAACTTATTATAAGCAATGAAAAAAAACAAACCCAAAACATGTCAAAACAGGGGGGACGGGGATGGGGGACGCACAATTCGACTACTGTACGAAACGGCAAGCAATCAAGATACAGCAAAGGGGATTAAACCACAACGGGGAAAAGGGCCAGAGCTGACTGTGGGGTGGAGAAAAAGAAACGCCGCACAAAAAACACACAGACTGATGAGAGAATGTGCTTCCTCCGAGGTCCACCGCTGCACGTGAGTCTAATGGAAACCGGGTGTGCCTTCCCAACAACAACAGCCGTGCAAAAATATCAAACGTTTAAGAAGAAAAAAGAAAAAACAGACACACAAGACATGCGCGCACACACATACACACGACACACGTTAAGATGCGATGGACTTGGCTTTTCCTGCAAACCTACCTACCTACCTATCTAGCTATCTGTCTGTCTGTCTTCCCGAAAGCCAACATTTGGTGAAATTCAGTTTAGGTTGTTTGCCTTCATGATCGCGGGCTTTCTGTTGACGTACGTAGCCCAGTAGCCTAGGTTGAAAATGAAGAACAGAACTGGGAAGATGATGCGCGAAATCTTGTCCACTTTGCTGACGCGGTTGTAGGACTTCTTGGCCTCCGTGTAGGGGTCGTCCATTTTGTGCAGGAAGGAGTGTTTGATCGACGGTCCCGGGGCGCTTTTGGAAATGGTCGTCAAGCCCTGGTCTTTGGCCACGTTGATGCCGTAGGTGGTGCCGACGATGTTGAAGGTGTTGTTGGCCTTTTTAGTCAGCGTGGCCGACTCCCTCCTCTGGAAAGGAAGAAGGCAGTTAAGGTCGTGAGTCGCAGCAGGGCAGTGGACTAAACAATACTTCCATTTGAACTCATAAAGAGGAAATAGAAGCAACACCACGAGACACGAGACACACACAAGAACAAAACAAAAGCCTAACCATATCTTTAATCCTGGCCATGTTAGCCTGAAACGGTTCCTGAAAAGAAAAGTAGAAAAGAAAAAAAGTTTACCAATTATATTAGAATTACCCAACTTACAGAATCTATTCATCACTATCTAGCTGGAGGTGACTTTTTTTTTTTTTTAAATTATTATTTTATTACATTTTTACAGTTTTAATACTGTCAAATCAATGGTATATTACACAAATCTGGATCGCAGGAGGAAAATGTCATGAGTAAAAATATCATGACGAGAATATTGAGCTTGTGAGATAAAGAGTGTGGAAAATTGGAACAGTTCTCGTGTTTTTATTTTATTATTATGTTTTTTTTTTCAAGGGGGGGGCGTGGGAAGGAGAACCAGGCTGGACTGGCGTCTGGTACTGCTAGCAGTAGCAGTAACAGCACAGAGCAGGATTAGAAACAAAGCAAAAAAAAAAAAAAAGAAGAAAAAAAAAAAACAGCGCCTGAAAACATGTCTGACAAACTGTATCAATGAAGGCAGCCAGGCCTCTTCAGGCAAACAGCTAGTGATAAAGCAAACATGACAAAGGCTGTGTGCGATAGAGCAAGCTGGAGGGTCCGGCGCCTTCCTGCTTCTGGAGCCGCGCGATTGCGGCGCCTTTCACTTTGGAGTTGCACGGGAAGAAGACACGGTTTTATTTGCCACATTGGCACCCTCACATAACTAAACTCGCATCTCTGGAGGATCCTGTCAGTCTGACGGAGCACAGAGCAACGAGCAATTTGGATGTGGGGGGGAAAACAAGTAGGGCAGCAAGATGGATTGCCGAGCAACACTTTCTGGTGTGGCTCGCGCTCTGGGTTTGTGCTGCGATCATTTCCTGCGCACCGATCAGGACTTCTTTCAGATCAAGACTGGACCGGTGCGTGTCATGGGGGAGGAGAGTTTCAGATCCAAGTGCTCCTGTTATTGCGTGAAACGATTTATTTTTCTAACTGCGTCGTCTGAAACAAAGCTAAGCTTCCGACGTATTTTCTTCGGTGGCTGTAAAACAAAGTAGTGCATATTTAAAGGTAATACGTACGTTGTGTTTCAGCTAACAGGTGTGAACGTACGGTGACTGAAGCTCATTCAGACTGGATGGAGAGCAGTGGTGGCACATGGACATAAACTTTAAGTTTTATTATGATAGTTTGTGGTACTATTGTGACATGTCACAAACAGCACACCGTAACTATAATAACAATATTTTTAAATGTATTGATATTTTCATTGAACAAAAATTACAAAAAAAAAAAAAAAAAAAAAAAAAAAAAAAAAAACCCCCCTGGCAACCTCACTCGCCTTTGGGGGTTTAAAG